CTGCCACCCAGGCAGCCCACCTTCTGCTCTGGAGCCCCACCGCCAGCCTCCCTGGACCCTCAGGCTGGATCAGGACGCCCAGCACTTGGTTGGAATCCAGGCCTGCTACTGAAATTCCTGAAAGGGATTCACTAATGGCACACTGCACTCCTTTCAGCCCACCCGTGAGCAGACCCCTTCTGAAGTAGCTGTGGAAATTAAGAGAGAGCCAACCCTACTCTGAGAACGGTGTCCAAAAGCATTCTTTATAGCTTAGAAGCACACCAGTCCAGATCACCGGACCTGAGCTTCCTGGGGTGTTCAGCTCCTTCCTGGCCTCTGGGTTGCCAAGCAGGAGGTGGTGCTCCATCCCCACCCGGTGTGGCCACCTGAAGAAGAGGAAGGAAGGGGCCAGAAGCCCGGTGTGAGTGCTTTTCTTGTGCACCTGAACTCTCACTATGATAGGGAAACGTTTTAGATAACTTAATAGATTGAATATTAAAGTAGTTGTAGAAGCAAAATAAGTAATGTGTTCTTTTAAGATTTGCTTTTCCCATAACTCTCCTTGTTTAAGGTGAAGGTAATCTGATTCTTTAACCAGTAACTTCATTAACCTAACAAAGTTACCATGCCAGGGTGAATTTATAATGTATATGGCCTATCTTGTGTCTGTGACTTGTAAATAGGAACTGGAATTGTATTTACACATCAAAGACCACTAGGGATGAGATAATGGCTAAAAAGGATATAAAAAGGGAAACGCTGCATGGATATTAACCAGACCGGTTTCAGGCATTCCTGCCCGCTCGTGAGTGTGTTCCATTGGAGCCACCTACCCTGCTGCAGAGGACGCACGCCGTACCCAGGGCTCGCAGCTCAGAAGCAGGAAACTCACGAGTTTCCCTGCAGGTTCCTGACCCTGACCCGAAGTCCTGCAGGTCTGGGTTCGGTCTTGTCTTCCCCACTGCCACGACCTCAGGGACCTGGGGATCCATCTGCTGATCGCACCCACCACACCCAACACAAGTCACCCCGTGTGAGTGAGGAGTCACTGCTGCCCACTCCACCACAGTGTGGGCCGTGCGGATTCCCCACTGGTCTTATGGACACAGTGCATACCTTACAGGGCTTACTGGGCTGCTTCCAGGAGCCACACTGGGGACAATCGAGGAGGGAGGAGGACTGAACCCGCTGTTCCCCTGCGTCCCTGACGCCACGATTCATGTGAAGGCACCAAAGTCAATATTGTTCCCAATCATCCGTCCAATCACCTCGAGCTACGTGAGTGGATTCCCGGAGGGAGGGTCATTACCGTACCAGCAGCCGGTGAGGCAGCCCTGGGGACTGCCATCTCCTCCCGAGAGCAGCTCCTCTCACAGTTCTGTTCTCTACTAGGAATCTATTATATGATCTAGTTTTTCCTCCAAAGACATCATTAATCATGCGGTAAAAATGTAACTACAATTGAAAGTACAAGATGTTTTGTTAAAGACCATGTTCAATGCTGGATGATCATCGAGCTGTGAGATGTTAAAAATCCTGGGCCTCAGCCTGGCGTGGTGCACGCCTGTCATTCCAGCACTCTGGGAGGCTGAGGCAGGAAGATGGTAAGTTCAAACCTGACCTGGGTGACTCAGCAAGGCTCTGTCTCAAAATAAAAAAATATAAAAAGGCTGGGGACATGGCTCAGTGCAAAGGCCCTGGGTTCAATCCCAGTACTAAAAAAAATAATAATAATAATAATAATAGGGCCTGGTACCTCCTTCTTAAAAACATTGCTATTGATGTCTCATCACTTCTCCGAGTGTGGTGGAGTCTCTTTTCTCTGTCTGCTTTCTTTAAAATGTTCGTGAAGATTTTAGAATGTTCTCATCACAAGCCCCCACCTGGCCTGGTGCTCCTTGCTCCAGGAGGAATTTTGTGAGAAGTCAGCCCCGGGTGCCACTGCCTGGTCCAGGGTCTTGGGAATGGGAAGGGACAGCAGGGCCCCGGGTTGGCTCTGACCTCGGGCAAAACCTTTCCTCTGGGCTCCCGTTTCTCTCACAGACTGCAGGGAGTCAGAGTAGGTGTGCCGGATGCTCCATTCCTCTTACACTTGGTGAGGCTCCCCTTGAATGACCATGACATTGACCCTCACTGATGGACAGCTCAGCCCATCAGATTGAGATTTAAAAGCTGAAAACAATCAGCCAGGTCCAGAGGGCAAAGCTAATCAGGTGCCACCGTGCAAGAAGCTGCCTGCACTGGAGGTCACCAGTGCGCTGAATTGCTGCCAATCTGAAATTGCCACTGTGGGGAGAGGGTGCACAGGGCGGAGGGGTGGGGCCTCCCAGCATAGCTCCCAGACCCTGCCTGCGAGGAACCGGGATGGTCACCAGCAAGAGAGGGACAGAGATGGGAAAGGAAGAACCCACGTGGGGATGGAGAAGAAGACAGACTCTGAGGGTAAGCAGGGACAGGATGGGGCCCCGAGGGACAGGCAGGGGGCATCAGTGTGTCCCGGGCCCAGAGAAGTCCTCCAGGGCAGCCTGACACCTGAGTCCATTTGTTTCTCCATACCTTCACACTGAGCTACAGCCTCACCCCTTTTCATTATTTATTGTGAAATGGTTTTGCTAAGTTGCCCAAGTTGGGCAACTTGAGATCCTCCTGGCTCGGCCTTCCAGAGTCAGGAAGGCATGCACCACCATGCCCCCCGTGGGTGCAGAATGAACACACACTTTATTGCTGGGGATCTCTGAGTGAGGAAACACAGCGCCCAGGTCAGTGCCCACCCGACACCACACTGATGAGGGTGCTGGTGAGGACCACAGCGAGGAAGAAACTCTAGGGAAACACCAGGCCTCCCTGGCTGCGGCCTCAGCCACCGCCGAGCACTGGCGCATCCAGGAAGGGCCCTGCTGGGTTAGGCCAGGCACGGCTGCCGTCCCAGGCGGAGCAGTCACCTCTCGCTGGCTGACAAACCAACACTAAGCTCAGCGAGCAGCCAGTCTCGCCACCTGTGACTCACAGGAAATTCCCGTAGGGGCCGTTTCCGGTTCTTCCCAGCCGAGCACACCAAGGTTACTGCCAGGCAAGTGTCTGCCCGTGGCCACCTGGCTGAGCCTCCAGGAGGCTGGAGCTGGGCAGCAGTGGTCCTTCCTCACCACAGAGCCATCGCTGTCATGGAGCACGGGGTAGACAAGGCACAACACTGGCCAACAAGCAGCCTGTGTGCTGGGCCTCGTGTGTGGCCCAGTCTCCCGCATGGAGACCACCTTCCTCTTGCAGGACATCCATCTGCATCCTGAGCCCTGTGGTAACATCCCTGAGGCCACACGTGGCAGGCACACAAGAGTGTTCCACACGTCACACAGGTTTGCCAGTTGATGTGAACACTGAGGCCCAAACATGATGAGGCCCCTGGTTTCCTGCTGCATTTTTCTTTAAAATCTTCCTTCAAGTTGAGAGGGAAAAGGCTAAGCGCCTATGTGGAATTCCAACAGGCTCAACAGAATGGGCCCAAACTCGAGGCCGGCATGGAATGTCTGTCCTAACAAAACAAGCTGGCACCCTCTGAAAATGCCCGTATCGGATGACAGCTATATGATCCGGCTGGAGAGGGTACAGAACCTGCTCTGGTTGTGAAAACTCAAGACCGAATCCAAGCACTGGAGCTCACAGGTCCCAGGAGCTGTCTACAATTGTGCCTTCAGGCACGGCCCCAGCACTCATGCCAACAAGCTGGCTGGCTTGGCACCCAGAGGATGGGGAAACAAAACAGAGGTAAGAGGGGGAAGTGGAAAGAAAAGCAGAATCTTGGTTGGTCTTCAAAAAGACAGAAGGGTTGAGTCTAGACTGAAAAGCTGAGTCCTAAAAAAAAAAAAAAAAATGACACTATTCCACCCCATGTATATCTCCAAGCTGATTTTGGTGACTCCATGGAAACCAGAGGCCACTTTGGCCATGTCTGCCCCCCCAGCAGCTCCCCTTGGAGATGGGCGACCTATGCATGCATGCAGGGTGGGGTGGTAGAGTAAAGGTCCAAGGAGGCAGCAGATCTAGCCAGAAAAAGAACCAGCGACCCAGGGAGGCAAGTATTCTCACTTTCTAAGTTGAGTCTCGAAAGGTGGCTGAGAAACTAAGGTGCCAGTCTTCCGACCCCACCAGCCCATGTACAGGCTTTCCAGAGTCTTCCTCCCGATCCTTTCTCTTTATTCACATCAATCACTTTATAACAGTTTGGTTTTCTCTACAGCCCACCAGTACCACCCACCCAAGACTCCTTCCAAGACCCGAAAGAAATGCCGTTCTCAGAGAGGTCACTCCAGGGCCCCGCTACCTTTCACACTTCAGACTCGGGAGGCAGCACCTGCATCTGTTTTGGTGTGAACAGCTGGAAATGCTCCATCTGAAAGGCTGACAGGAAGTAAAGCCCACAGCACCTGCCAAGGAGGACCCTCCCGGCAAGCACCAGATGCAGGTTTGCACTGCCACCACCCAGCGGCTGTGGGTTCTTTCTATAGGCGGGGCATCTAACCTCAAAGTGCTCCAAAATCTCACCTTTTTGACACTCACATGACTTCACAGGTAGAAATTTCCATACCTGACCTCGGGTACCAGGTCTCAGTTAAAACGGGTACTTTGTGTAAAATCACCTTTAGCCTACCCGTAAGGTGTGTGTGCTACACAGACTAACATGTTTACACTTGGGTCTCCCGCCCCCCAGATATCTTACTATGTATGTGCACTTATTCCCAAAGCTGCAAACATCCAAAATCCTGACACACTTCCGGTTCCCAGTGCTTACAAACAGAGATATTCAACCTGTTATCCTATCACAGGATTTTAGAGTCACTGTGCACTTTCGGATCACCTAAGCCAACCTAGTCATTTCACAGGTGAGAAAAGCCAGGAATAAAGCAACTGAATAAACTGGCAACAGCACTGGAAGAGAATCTCAGACCTCCAACTTCCGGCCCCAGATTTTTCCCAGCAGCCCGTGGCTTCTTTCTGGCCATCCACGCAGCCGCCTCCCCTACCTTTCTTCCTCCACCAGGGTCCTTCGGGAACTGAGTAGGACAGGTCCTTGAACTCGATGTTCACGGCCGCCCTCCGGGGCAAGGAGGAGAAGCGCTGGGCCTCGGTGAGACTGTTGTCCACTTTCTTCAGGTGTCCATTCAGCAGGTCCGTCTCTGCGTCGTCCACACTGCTGGAGACGACCTCGTCCACCGAGACGCACACGGACTTGGGCTCGGTCATCGTGGCCGAGTAACTGCTGGCATTCTAGAAAGACGAGGAGGAAGCAGCAAGGCGTATTACAGCGTGCACGGAAAAGGGCAACCAGACACTGATCATAGACTCAGGGTCACTGGTTAGGGAAAGCAACGCTTCTTACACAGCCAGAGTGGCCCTGCAGCAGCACAGAGGTGGCTGCCTGCAGGAACTGTCATCGCTGTCACTTCTTCTTCTACAAAAAGATGCTTAGATAAAATGTTAAGCTGATCCACGGGTCTTACTCTGGAATCGTAAAATCTAATCACAAAACCATAACGAGTGAATCACCTATCTCAGTGGAAAATACTGACCACCATCAAAAGTTATTTACAGTTCACTCATAAAAAACCTCAGTAAAGACACACAAAGTGCCTAAGCAATCCAAGGCTGTAAAAGTTTTATTAAACTGAGCTACTGCAGTGCCTTCCTTGGGTAATCTTGTAACAACTTCGCAGGAGCAGCAGCAGCAGCATCTTCATATTGGTCTTCATATTTGGCTTTGAAATTTTCCAAATCACTCACAAGTCTGTGTCTTCATAATGGTGCCAAAGAGGTGGAAAGGCTCATATTTTTTTCACTATTATACAGAAAGGGAAACTGAGGGCCAGATAATTTAAAGAACCTGCTCCAAGGCAAGTGAGGAGCAGAAGCAATCCCCAAACTTGAGTGATCAAAACACATGTAGGGTTTAGTTCGCTGCATCACAAGGGTACTCAGCCCTTGTGGCCTGGCCAGAGCTTTCCGTTTTTCTCTTTTTACACAGTATCGGGGACGGGACCCAGTGCCTCTGCCACAGAGCTGCAGCCTGGCCTCTCGAACCGGCTTCCACGGCTTCCCCTGGGAGTGGGATAAACTGCAGCAGATGGGCCAAGAACCCAAGTACTCATGCAAATGCAGCGCTACGCCTTTCTAATGGCTTGGCAACCCCGGCCCGAGCCATACGCTCCAGGGATCTCGGAGCACGCAACACTGGGAGTGGAATATTATGCTGAACTCTTCCATCTCCTGAACTGAGTGAGCACATCCCAGGTGCCCGGGGACAGAAGGCCCGCCCCGCGGCACCATTATCTGTAAGTCTAACCATTTCTTTGGAGTTGCTTGCTATTTATCATTACTCTCTCTTTTTCTTATTTTATTTTTTTTGAGACAAGGGTTTCACTATGTAGTCCAGGCTGGCCTTGAACTCTCTATGTAGTCCCGGCTGACCTCCAATTCACAGTGATCCTCCTGCCTCAGCCTCCTGAGTGTTGAGATTACAGGCGTGTGCCACCACACCCAGCTCCTTACTATTTATCAAAAACCCAAGCAAAACCAGACTATGGACTGTCCATAAAATCCCCATAAACCCCAGCAACTTATGTGGCCATCCCTGAACATCAGCATGTACCCTTGAGCGCACAGAAGTGACTTTTGGAAGAGCTGGCAGTGGTTCCACCATGCTCTTTGAGGGTTCCAAATTCCATGTCTAAGCGTGGGGGCTCTGGAAATTTAAAACACAACTGAGCCGGCTGGGATATGTTGGCATGGGAATTCTGGGTCTCCTGGAGATGGAAAATGTCTCTGCATTTAAGAGAAAGACACACACATACACACACACACACACACACACACACACACGCCTCAAAGGCATCTCCTACATCTAAAAGACTTCACCAAAGCAAAACTTAGTCAGTGGCCACAGCCCCATGTGGATGCACTGCTGCTGCTGCAGAAGGAAACTCCCCTTCAGCCTGGTGAGCCACAGCCCCACCCAGGCGCAGACGGCTTCAAACTCAACCTAAGCAGGTACACACCTCCCCAGACCAGTCCGGGGAAGGTCTGCGTCTGTCCTGGAGGGCTTGTGAGACTGGGGGACCCCAGCAGGGACCCTCTGTGTCTGCTCCAGGCCCCTCCATGCTGGGGCTCTGTCCTAGGTCACCCTGCTCCTTGGTGACAGGGCAGGAACACAGCGTCTTTGCAGGCCTTGGGACGTGCCCTCTACCCACCCTGCTTCGGCTTTGGGGCCACGGATTTATAGCCCACTGGACCCTAAAGCCTGAGAAGCACCAGGTCCTGGCTTTAGAGGTAGGGTGTCAAGAGCAGTATGGCAAGATGCTCAGTCCCAAGGCCATCCCGGCCGCCTGCTCGACTCAGAGGCGGAAAGGCAAAGTGCTGGCCCCAAACAGCAACGCCTGGCCAACCCGGGACCTCAGGGTGGGAGGTTCAGGAGGGCGAGGATCGGGGAGCGATCCAGCAACTCTTGCACCTCTCGGGTTCCAGCTGTGGTGGATCATCTATCCCTCCCCACTGGCACCCCGACAGGTACCCGGCCTCTGGGGGAGCCGGGGGGGCACCGGAAGCCAGGATGAACAGCAGCGCCCCAGCCAGCCAGCCGTGGTGGCAGATGCGACCCTCTCCCCCAGCCTCCTCTCTCCCAAGTCCATCTGGTCACTCTGGCACGCCCAGGGACAAAGAGCACCAGACAAAGCCAGGCAGCCAGGCAGGCATCCTCCAGCCTCTGCAAACTCAAGTTCAAGATTAGCCCACGGGTGAGAAAGGGTCACACACAACAGGTGAGGCAAGAGCCAGTGGGGGAAGGAGCACTCGGTGCAGAGCAGAGCCGGGGCTGCAGAAAGAAGGCTGGAGCACGGTGGCCTTGACCTGCACGCACTAACGGGGATGGAGGCACCATAAGCACACAGCTGGGTGACTAACCTGCTTCAGGGCTGAGACAGAGCAGCCAGAACCCGGAGCTCACAGTGTAAAGCATTACTGAAGGATGCCTGGGTGCCAGGTGACTGTAAACAATAGCGCCTATTGACTCAGCCTCACAACATGCCTGTTAAATCCAGCTTGTGTAGATTACGCCTCTGCCATCTCCACAGCTCTAACGGGTGGGTGTGGGTGCGGGAGGGAGGTGCCTGGGAGGGAGATGCCTGGCTCCAGGTTGGAGCTAGGGAAGGGCCCGGCCGGGGTCCAGCTCTGCGAGCCTTGGGCCAGTGTCACTTGGGCATTGCTCAGCTCTCTGCAGCAACGTGTGGGTGGCTCTGGGTCATGCGCCCCAGAAAAGGCCTCAGCACACTGCAGAGACCCTGCAGCCCCACTCCCCCGCAACCCCAGCCCACCCTCCTCCATGGCGTCCAGTGGCCTCACCCAATTAACAAAAATCACAAAAAAATGTGTGATGGGAGGCAGTGACCTGTCACTCCGAAATAGACCAGCTCTCTGGAAACAGCCTCGAACCGAGCTGCCGGCAATGTAGGTTACAGAGAGCTTTCCCTTAGCCTCCTGAGCTCATTACAAGTACAGCAACACCTAGTCCCTCCTGCTTTTCTCTCACCCGTGTTTCCTGATCTTTCCGAGGTGCTGCCTTTGATCCCTCCCAATGCACAGCCATTGCGAGCGCGAGGTGGGTGGTATATTAACAGCAGCTCACTCTGGAGGCTGCGCATGGAGGGGACCCCACCCTGAGCAAGCTCTCTTGGGTGCAGGGCAGAGTGTTGGGGAGTTCGGCTGGAACACGCGTAAGGAAAGCTGGTGGAGCCGAGAGGCTGTGAGACCCCTTCGCTGGGACAGAGTCCAGAAACTTTCTTCATGCATCATGGGGAAAGGGGGAAAGGGGAGGAGCTTATGCCAGCGCGAGGGTCTCTCTTCTGTCTGCTTCATGCTACCTGCTAAGGTGCCCACCTACACCGTGCCTCTGTGGCATCCTGGGCACACCAGAGGAAAACGTGCTGGGCCCATAATCTTCATGCCAACTGCTCACAGGAAAGTGACGAAGCTGTCACCCTGAGCTAAGTCCTCCGCGTTTGAGTGGCCTCTGGAAACTGCTTGCCCGAGCACCCGCCTGAGCCCAGGGACCCCAGCTGCTGTCCAGAATCCCCTGTCACTCTCTCATCACCACCACAGGACTCAGGGCAGGGAAGGATGGAGAAGCAGGGCCAGGGCTCCTGGGTGCTTGTCAGGGGCTCTCTGCATAGAATTTTTTTTATTTTTAAAACTTGTTTTTCTTTCTTTCTTTTTTTTTTTTTTTTGGTACCAGGGATCAAACTCAGGTCCTTGCACTTGCGCAGCAGACGGTGAAACCACTGAGCTAAATCCTCGGCCTGAAAACTTGTTTTTCTTTTATGCCTACAGCACTACTATTTCCAACTGGTCTCCTATGGTAGTTCCAGCCAGGCCTGACCCTGTTTAGCTTGAGGGGCAGAGTTTTGGGTGGCATGTCCATAGAAAGACACACTCCCAATTCAAAACAAAAGAAAACAAACAAGCAAACAAACACTACATTTTCCAGAAGGGAAATGATTCTCAAGCAAAACAAGTTTCCGTGAAAAAACAGCCCAGCAAATTAGCATCTCCAAGTGAGAAGAAAACACACATGCTCTGGGTCTGTATGAACCCGTAAGATAACATTCTAAAACGAGTACAAAGAATCTGTATCTTGAAAACATTCCACTTCGTTCATCCACATCTACCCGCCAGGTCTGCAGCCCCCAAAAGGTCCTGAGTTACCCTGGGCTTTAAAGACCCACAACCGCCTCTGCCTGTAAAAGACACCAATAATCTTTTGGTGGTGGTGGTGGTGGTGGTGGTGGTGCCGGGGATCGAACTCGGGACCTTGAGTTTGCTAGGCAGGCGGTGGAACCACTGAGCTAAACCCCCAGCCCTGACACTAACAATCTTAATTTCCCACCGCCAGCATAATGCAGAAATCCAAAGTAAACGAACAAGTGCAACTGTTACCCAAACATTCAACTAGATAAAAGCAAATGTCATCAGGTGGGGATTGGCTTTTCCAATTATTTTTTTCATTGCCTCTTGTGTGTAGGAAGCTAGGGAGCAAGCCCAGAAATGGGAGGTGGTGATGGTGGTGGGGTCCTCGGCCAGCTCGCCCCAACCCCTACCAACTGCCTCTGCCCCATTCTCTCGGTTTACACCGAGTCATTACATAATGAGCTGGCGCGGCCGGTATGTTCTACAGTAACCTGTTTGGAATCATAGGATGCAGTCGTCAGGGAGCGCATGCGCACAAAGCCGGCTACTTTTTTCCCTTCCCCGAGCTCAAGGCAAGAGGTAACTGTCGGTCAAATCCTGCTGAGCCCTGCTGACTTCAAATACAGGATGCTAAAAATGAAATAAAGGGAGGCGCGTGGTGCTCTGCGCCTTGGGCTGACAGCGTATGGGAAGGAGCCGCAGGATAGTAACACACGGAGAGATGGAGCACAGGGTGCTCGGGGTGGGACACCAAGGACCTGCTGCTTACACTCGGCGCAGACACGCAGGGCGCCGGGAAAGGCGCGGTGGGCGCGGGTGGCTGGTGGTTCCTGTGTTTTAAATCTTCTGGCTGAGAGTCAACGCGAGCCGCAACGCCTGGCCGGCCCTGAACAGCACTTGCGCCGCCGATCACAGCGGTGAAGGTGCCCGCGCCGGGTCCTCTTCTCTTGGAGCTGGGACCCTCGCCGCTGTCCGGCGCGAGGTGCGCGCCCCTGTGCCCGCCCGGTCTCGCCAGCGCGCAGAGGCCGAGGGGTTCCGGGCTGCCCGCCGCGCCTCCGGGACTCCGCCGCCCCCTCCACGAGCCGCTGTCCCCGGGGAGCGGCTCCTCTTTTTGTCCTCCCCCCGCCCCCGTGCGCAGCGCTTCCTGGAGTGCAAAAGCCCCTCTCCCCGAGCGCCCCGCCGCGGGGGAGTGGGGGATCCGCGCCCTTCCCTGGGGCCCAGGCCGCGGCTGCTCGCTAGCGCGCTCCGGTCCGGGACCCCACGCCCCCTCGGAGACTGAGCCCTCTGTCCACTTGTGGGGCGGCTCGCTGCCCGGCACCCGCTCCTGGCCCCTCGGCGTCCCGGCGTCCCCGGCCTGGGCAGGGAGCACCCCGAGGCGCAGGGGGTCGGGGCGAGGGGCGCTCAGAGCCGGGCACTCACAGGTCAGCACCCCGAGGCAGGACGCGGGCGTGCGCACAGGGCGGGCGGTCTCCGCGCCTCCTGCTCTCCCTAGAAAGAACCCAGGCCGGGCCGGAAGGAGGCGTCACTCACCGCGGCTGTGCCGACCGAGAAGGCGGCCATCAGACAGGCCATGCCCCGGCGGCGGTGGCGGGGACAGGCTGGGGACGAGCTGGGGACGAGGCTGCGCTCTCCGGCTCCGCCGCGATCCCGCCGGCTGCCTCCGGACCCCGCCCGCGGCCCGCCCCGCGCACCGCCCCGCCCCGCGCCCCGATTGGCCCGCGACTCCTGCGGGAGGTGCAGGTGCGCGTGCTCTTGTTTTGTTCGAGAGGGAGCGCCGGTGCGTGCCCTCTGCCCACGCCACCTGGGACGGGCTCGGCCGGCCGAGCTCAGCTTCCCAGCCTGGGGCGCTGCTGGATGGGGCAGGAGGAGCCCTCAGGGAGAGAGGCAGGGGGCAAAGGGCTTCTTTTCTTTTTGGTCCTTCTTGGGCGCCTCTGTGCCGGGAATAAACTCCAGGACTGAGAAGAGGTGAGCGCCCTAACGCCGCCCCCTACTGCTCGGGGCAAGGCGACCCACACCAAGCCAGGCCCTCACACCAGGTGTGACGGGAACTCCCCTCTCTTTGAACACACTCATCCCATGGTCCTCGCCACTTCCTGCAGCGGCTCTGGAGTCCTTTTTCCCGAGCGTCCTTAGCTGCACTGTCCTGGCTGCCTTGATGTCCTGAATCGATTCAAAACGTTTTCCTACCATGGCCATTTTGACTTTGGGGAAGAACCGGAAGTCACACGGTGCCAGATCAGATGAATAAGGTGGATGAGGACACAGCATCGTGTTTTTAGAAGCTGCCTTTCTGCTGGGTGGCGCTCAGCAGCGGCTGTACCAGTATTTTTGATCACATCTCATAAAGATGATCAGGAAAGAGGACTCCAGAGCTGCTTCAGAAAGTGGCAAGGACTCTGGGATAGTATGTTCTAAGGGAGGGGGAGAATTTTGGAGTTTTGGTGTGTGTGTGTGTTTTGTTTTGGTTTTTTTGGTATCGGGGATTGAACTCAGGACCTTGTGCTTTCAAGGCAGGTGGCAGAACCACTGAGCTAAATCCCCGGCTCTTGGAGGGGAGAATTTTGAGAGAGATCCATGGCAATGTGTCTTTTATTGTAAGAAATATTTTAAATTTAAACGTCCGCGTGTTTTTCCACCACCTCTTGCACATTCTAAGCTGCTGTGCACCCAGTGCTCACTAAGGTGGCAAGGGGCAAGCTGGTTGCCATCCCCTCCTCCCCAGTAAAGGAAAAGCTGTTAGTTGCAGGTGGAGATGTTTTCTGTGCCAGCCCCACAGCTGCATAAGGAATGACACTGAGCACCTCTCCTCTGGGCCCAGACCGCAATATCAGATGGCCTGGCATCTGCTACAGCCCTCATTATATACAAGTGTGCCATTTCCAATAACCATGGCGACAGGCCCTTCTTAAGCGCTGACCTCAGTGCCAATCCTTTTGTTTGGTTGTTTACATGTTGGGAGCAAACCCAGGAATGTTTCCTGCGGCCTGCAGGGTACCTGGGCCACCCTCCTTGCCACGCCTCCGTGGCCTCTGTCTTTCTCCTGCCCTAGGAAGGAGGCTGGCACCTGCAGGATGGTGACCAACTGAGTTCCCACTCCCACTCCAACGAGGGAAAGCAGGTGATTGCGAGTCTTAGGAAGAGAAAGGCTGGCTATTGTCTCAAAGGCTTCGCTGCAGGAGGAGTCCACCCATCTCCTTTGCCCATTGTCTGTGACATGGACGCAGAAGAAAGAATCTGTATGTGACCAGGGCGCGCAGGGTGACATGGGGGTCTTTGGCTGTAGGCGTCCATCTCCTGTCCAGTATCTGCTCTCCGTCTCCCAGAAATGTGTCTAGAATTTCCTTCTGTTGTCCTCCTCCTCACTCCTGCTAGTTCTCTGCCATGACTCGTGCACGATGGATCAATGCCCCACACAAGCCTGGTCGACTGGCTTCAGCCACCAAGTCCCCCAGCCATCCTGGCCACAGTGGTCAGTCAGGAACCAGAGGGGCAAGCGGGTGCCCGCTGGGTGGCTGAGGATCCCCAGAGGACAGTGAGGCCACTGAGCAACCAGAAGGGGAGACAGCCATGCCCAGAGTCCTCGCTGGTGTGGCTCAGGTTGCTGGGTTTCCTGTTTCCGGCCACTGACAGCCTCTCTTGTCCATTGTACATTGGGCATCTCCCAGGATGGCCATTCCACCACCTGTGGCCCGTGGGCATCACCAAACTCAGGGCCTTGCTGATGCCATCCCTCTAGTCCCCAGTGAGGGAAGGAGTGACACTTGTACCGGGACTCCTGGTGTGAGCGACAGAACAGCCCCTCTTGGCGGAGTTAAGGGGAACAGCTTGCCATCAGTAACAGAAAGGCTCGAGCCATGTGGTTTTGGGGCTGCCAGGGACTTGTGCTGGGAGCTCAGCCCCTTCCCTCTTGCCTCTCCCCAGCTCCGGGCTTCCCATCCTGGACTATACCCCATGTGGCTTTCCCAGCACCTCCCAGCTCAATCCTAAGGCTACCACCCAGACACCCTGCCCAGGGGTCCTGAGCCATGCAGACCTGGCCCGGGCCCCATGGAGAAGCTGGAGGGTTAGCCCTGGTGGAACCCCTGGAAGGCCAGGGCATGGGGCTTCCCAAGGCCATTTCAGCACGGGACTGGCCAGTCCAGCCCCACCCCCAAAGGAGTTTCATGACCAAGAGTGGCCAGGCTGGGCTTGAGGACTTCCAGTGGGAAACCATGTCCTGCCTCAACAGGAAAACCATTCTGTCAGGAAGTGCAATCTTCCCTTGGTATCCCTGGGGCAGTGGTTCCTAAAAAGTCCAAACTTCGCTTGAGCAGGTCCCCTACGCAAAGTGAACTTACTCAATCCCCTCCTACAGGTTAAATACCTACCACAATGCAAACGCCATGGAAAACTGAGCGTATGCTGTTGTGTAGGGAGTAGTGGCAAGGAAAGAGTCTGTACATGTTCAACATGGGCACATTTTAAAGATATTTCTGACCCAACTTTGCTTGAATCCACAGATCCAGAGGGCTGATGACTGCTGTCACCATTAGCAAGATCTCCCTGGGTCTGATCGGCCTCCTTGTCACCCTGCCTGCTCTGTGTCCCTCAGTGACACAGTCAGTCAGCTCCTCTAAGGCACAGGAGGCCCTAGCTAGATGATGAAGGCACAGAAGTTCTCTCCCAGCCTCCCTGCTGTGCCCAGACATCCTCAGTCCTGCAGCAAGGCTTCCAGGGACATGCCTTTCCATCCCACTCCCCTTCTCTGGATGATGAGTGCCAGTTTCTCTGGGTCCCAAGTGACATTTGGTGTCTACCACAGAACCCCTGTTCAGTGTTCAGATCAGATGGAGCAGGCCGGGACAGCCCACTGCCTGGTTCTGGACTCTATGCTGTCAGTGAGGCCCTGTTAGCTTTGATGTGGGATTGTGGGCACTGCAGCTGGCTTGCACTGGGAGGTGAGGCCTGGTTGGAAGACACAGGTCACTGGGGGCATGGCCTGGAAGGACCCTTTGCTTTCTGCTTCCTGTCCACCATGCTGTGAGCAGCTCTCCTTGCACTGCACCTGGAGTTGGGCCTGTCCAGAAGGTGAGCTGAGCTGCTGGAGTGATGAGAGCAGCTGCAGGACAGGCGTCTTCCCTTCGCACAAAGACTCCCGGCATGGACCTCCCCTGGAGCTCAGCCACTGTGGTGCTGGTGCCAGGATATGCTGGGTACGGTAGTGTGGGGCCCCGCCTCCTGTGCTCAGCTGGCCACAGGGACGGGAGCCAAAGCACAGCCTTGCCGGGCTGAGCAGGGCTGCCCACGTACTGGAGACCATCCTGCCTCAGCCTGGGGCTCTGTGTGGACAGGGAGCAGGCCAGAGGTGGGGGGCCGTGAGCCTCTTGCCCTCAGACTCCCGCCCTGTGGGGGTCCACCCTGGGGACCTCTCTTGCACTGAGTCCCCAAGCCGCCTCATCCAATGCCCGGTCTCTTGTGGCTTGGGAGCGGGCAGCATCCTGCCGATGGACACCAGCTCCTGCGGGTAGGCGTGGTCATCTGCAGCTGGAGCCCAGGCCCAGACGGCGCCAGGGGGAGGATCCTGTCTTGGTGCCCCAGCTACTGAGTACCTGAGCCAAGGATCCACTCCAGGCCGTCTGGCCCCTCCCTGGCAGATGCTGGAGCATGTGCGCTGGCCAGCGTGGACATTGCCCACAAGGTGGACGTGGGTCTTCCTGTCCTGTCCACTCTGTGTCCCCAAATTCTCTATGCATCATGGGATGGCCGACGCCACCTTCCTTCCTGGACACATCTCCACCTCACAGAGGAAACCAAAATCTGAAGGACTCTGGTCCCTCTGGCCCCCGACTGCATGGGCTGCTGCCATGGCAACGGGGGTGAGGCACTTTAGGGGCTCTCCTGTCCCAGACCCTCAACCCCAGACTGGGGGGTGTGGATAGGTGCTGTGTCCCCCTCGCTGGCCACACCCCTGGGCGCTGGGGTCCGTGATGAGCAGAATCTGATGTGCCTGCGTCACGCCCAGAGAGGGGCCCAGCTCGGGAACAGGCTTCCAGAGGCTGTGACGGGCGAACCAAAGTGAGTCGCAAGGAGTGGGGTGCGGAGGAGAAGCGCTCAGAAGGCTGAGCTGGAAGGTGAGGGGTTGCGGGATGTTTTCAGGAAAAGAAAACTGCAAGTAAATATTTCACAGACTAAATTAGGAAGAGGCGAGCTCAGTATGCAAACAGACTGTTTCTGTTTCCCTCCACTGACAGAGAACCCAGAATGGCTGGGGGACACTGAGGCGGTGGTTTTCCCGAGGACGGCAGTGGGAGGCCAGCTGGCCGCGGGGCCACCTTCGCAGTCGGGGACTGGGACCAGTGTCTCGTAGATAGACACGGAACGCTATCCGGGGCCTGCTTGCCACACGTGGTCAGGGCCTCTTGTCACCCAGGAAAGGACCCATATGAAATGATTGGTACCCCCAGGCCCTTGTGCCCACTTTCTTCAGATGAGAGTCCCTCCCTGACCCTGAGCACCCTCACCCCCGAAGCCAGGGGTTTTCCCGCATTGCTGGTGTCCTGCAGGAGATCACAAGCCCAGGGGCCCCTGAGCTCCAGGGGACTCACCTGAACCCTCAGAGTGAGAAGCCTTCTTTCCCTTTTGGGGTGGAGCAGCCAAATACAAGGTGTGATCGAAAAGTACAGTGAGCA